TTGTTACGCCAGTCACCATCCTGAAGTTTCTGAAAATGAGGGAGCCTCTCTGAAACACTTCAGAGGTGGGGCTTTACCTATCTTTAAAAGATAAGCTAGAAAGTCATCTTTGGAAATGCCATTCCATCATAATCTGGGGAGTTTAATCATCATTCCACTAATCTGGACACATAGTATTCCTATTCTATTATCACTCAGCTATAAAGAATATTTTCTAATTGATCTACTTTGAACGTGTAAATCTTTATGCATTAATTTCTTTTTTTCTTCCCTACGGCACATTCAGTGTTTCTACATAATCATTTGTCTGGAGAGGCATTTGCTACCAATTAAAGAAATTGAAACAGGTGAGATAAACTCATCATATGTTTTTATTTTTAAATTCTGTGAACTCAAGTTTTCCTCATTCTATGGTTCCTGCTTTCATTAAGTTTGTAGTCTTGTATTGCATTTTATCAGTAAATATCTTAACTCCCCTACAATAGTTGCATTTCTCAGAAGGTAGGTAAAGCCTCTTACTTATCTTTGTATCTCCATATACTCACCCTCCCCTTTCAGAGCATTCTTGCATACAAGAAGCCTAATGTTGGTTGAATGTTACTGAAAATACAAATTATTCAGAATAATTATTTTCAAAGTGACTTTCATTTATTCCTTTTATTTTTCTGGTCATAGCAGTTTCCCTGTTTTCTCACTTTGGTTTTTGTATCTGTAGTATCTGGATCATACAAATTTCTCAAGGCAAGTGAATTCTAAGTGGTAGGTTTATTGGTTCCAGAAACAAATAAAAATGTCTATCTATCCCACTATAATGATTGATATCAAGAGAATAAATTAAGTCTCAGACAAATAGATTTGGAAAGTATCAACAAATCCAACACTTTGCAGACAATGAAAATGAGGCCTGGAGAGAAGGGACTACTCTATAGTTACACAGAAATAGAGATGACACTCAAACCTATGTCGCCTATAGACTAGTTCACTCTTGTACTATAACACTTCTATACTATTATATCTTACTTATTTGAATATGAACTGTTGATGGTAAGATACAACACAGCTACTTAAAGAGACATTCCTAAAGGTTAATATAACAATTACAGTTTATTTTCTTTACATACTACCATTCCCAGAAGGAACAATTAGAAATAGGTGTTTTGAAATTTTGCATAATGCCATGGGTTAATGTTATACTATCAAGTTAGTTTTACAGAAATTATTATTCCCCTCCATGTCTCCCTTCCATCTGAATTGTACAATCATTTCCCACAAATGGTAGTAAAAGTACCCAATGTTTATATTCTTCCCACCTTTTTAAATAGTGCACTATCTCTGAGACTCATCAATTCATATGGCTGATTTCTTCGAATAAAACATTGACAATGATAAATGTGTGTGTAAGTTTGACTTTCAAGAGCACTCAGTTCAATTGTACAAGAGCAGTGGGATACAGTGCAAAGGACACTGGCTTTAGAGTAAGAGTACCTGGTTTGATTTACTGCCTGTATGACTTTGCCACATTATTTTACCTCTAGGTCTCAGCTTCTTTATTTATAAAACTTATATGTAGACTTTCTCCCCAATCATTTTATAAAGGAGATACTATCTAAAGATAATTTATTGAGAAAAAAACCCTTTATTTAATTAACATGTAGTGAGGTAAAGAAAAGTGAAATTAATTTAAAAACTTTTCATTGAGCTAAATTGAAAGTTTTACTCAGATCACTGAATATGAAAATTCACTGTTTTTCAACTTTAAAAGCATCTCCTTTTATAAAGGAGATATAAACTGTTTTACAGCTTGCTCCACCCACCCATCCCCAGTGCAGATAAGGCCATAATTTTTCGAAAGAAGTAAGGGCAAGATCATAGATTTAGTGCTCTAGGAATCTCTGAAGTCAACAAACTATTTAAGAGCCTAATTAAATTTCATTTTGACTTGAAGTACATAAGCATGTACAATTAAGATTTTTTAAAAGGAATTTAGGGGTGAGATGTAGGAAGTGATACACATTTTAATTAGTCATGCTGGTAAAAAAAAAATCATAATCTAGTCATGTTCCTAGGGAGGAATTTTAGTTAAGCTAGTCCTTTGAAAGGAGACCGGGCACATTAAGATTACATTTGAAGATCTTCTTAGCTAGGTGTAAGGTGTTAGAGTTTGTGCATTGCTAGTGAAGCCTTTGAGAACTATCATTTCCACAACGATGATGAATCATTAAAGTTGAACTTTTGTGGAAAAACAGAGAAAGGGGTCTAGTGCATTATCCAAATCCTGTATTGTCAGGGGTTTTATTGGGGGAAATAAGAGGGAAGAGGAGAACAAAAAATGAACCAAAGAAATCATGGATTGGGAGCATAGAATGACAGAGGATAAAGGATATAGATGCAATATAAAACCACTGATGGAAGGAATACTTCCACCAATTTCTTCCCAGATCTAGTAGGATTGATATATAGCTATGTCTACATAGGCTAAATGGAAATCTAAATCAACTACCTGGGCAATTTTAACTGAAATAAAATTACTAGAGTGGAAAAGTTTTCTTGTAAAAGCAACAAAACAAAAAGAAGAAGAAGAAAAAAATAGTGCCACTAATGAAATACACAATAAGCTAATTAGTCTGAGGTGACTATAAGAATTGTTCAATTCTCCACTTCAATGTGTAAATACAATCAACTGGGGTGGGAGAGAAAGAGAGAGAGAGAGAGAGAGAGGCTAATTTTAAAAAATCATATTAAAGAAAACACAAATAATTTTGTTTCCAAAAATATCTTCAGGACCATTCTGTACCAACATTATAACTCATTCATAATTGGAAAAGCAAGTAATCATAAATTATTCTTTTCTGCAAAAAGAGGGCAGTTAAATGCTGAAACATTATTTCCCTGTTGCCTTTCATAATAGGCCCAGTGAGATAGAATGTAAGCGTAGTTTGTTTTAGCAAATTTTTCATGGTTTTTTAAAATTTCACTAGAGGAACCTCACCACGAAGTAAGGGCAATGAGATTCACTACTGATTTGCCTTTTATACTTATCAACTTACTACAATACTGTTATACAAAGTTTAGAGTCTTCAAACTCACTAATTATTTCAGAATAAGATTCTCTTTAATGACTTAAAAACTTTAAGAGAAATAATGAGATGAAGTAAAATGCAAGTCTCCACATTGTGGCTGTTTCTTGAACTCCAAAGACAGTCCGGTATATATGTATATACATACATATACATGTATGTATGTATGTATGTACACACATATACACATATGTACACCTGTGTGTATACTTATATGTATATGTATATGTTTGTGTATGTGTGTGTGCGTATAGATATATACATACATGTGTATGTACATACATATATAGTTAATTGCAATTATCTATATAAATGAGTAATACAAAATAGTGGGTGAGGAGAAATAATTTATTTTTAGCCTTGGGAAACATTAGGAATGTGTGTGTGTGTGTGTGTGTGTGTGTGTGTGTGTTTTCAGTATCATTTTCAGAAATAAAGACATTTCTAAATGGTCCTCCCCATTTAGAAATAGGAATTTTGGACTATCAACTTGACCATCTTCAAAATAGCAGTGAAAATTCAATCAAGTCTAAATATATGAAGCATAAAAACTAAAAATTAGCACCACTGAGCCAACAAATAATGAGTCCAAAGATAGTTTATTGAGAAAAAACTTTATTTAATTAACATTTAGTGAGGTAAAAAACAGTGAAATTAATTTTAAAACCTTTCTTTGAGTTAAACTAAAAGTTTTACTCAGATCATTGAATATGAAAATTCACTGTTTTTCAACTCAAAAAGTATTTTTAAATTAACTTAAAGATTGAATCAAATCAAATTGAGAACTCTCTCTTTTCCTCTTCAATAACAGAAGTATATCGATTTGGATTTTATAGTCTTCCTGAAATTTCTCACACATGATAGGAAATGCTCACTTTGCTTTATAATAAATTAATTTAAGGACAGATACATTATAAACTTTTAAGTGAAGAAAGTGAAAATAAAAGGAAGCTTAACAATCCTGTAAAATAGTTATAACTATGTTCATTTAAAAATGAAGGGCATCAAGCTAAGGCCAGAAATAAAGAAACCAGTCAAGTTAAGTAAATTAAATTTTACCACAAGTACCATTTATAAAACATGTGGCATTACATGTGATTTTTTTTTGTTCATTCTTAAATGAAAAATGCAGAAACAGTCTCTCTTCTAGTATATCTTTTTTTTTTATCAAACTCTTAGTTTTTTTTTATTTCTAAGAAATGACATGTTTTCCCAAAGAGTCTTATTCAGAATTAATATATACCAGCTATCCAATAACTTATTTTGCTCTCCTGAAAATTTTCTTCAGTTTTTTTTTTTTGGTAATATGCATGAAATTAAAGCAAAAGGCTAGAGAAATGCACATAATGATCTATTTCCTTTGTAGTGTCTTTCTTCAATTTGTATGGTTTGGACAAAAAGGAAAAGACAACCTTAGCATGCAGGATTCTTTAGCTCTGAACATTTTGGTGAAAATAGGTTAAGTTATTTTATTTTCTTCCTCTCATTCCCAATAAAAGGTTATTTATAACATTTCCCAGATGCTTATTGCAGAAATTAAATATTTTAATACATTTTGTTTGTAATTAAATAGGTATTTGTTAAGAGCCTAATTGGGTTTCATTTTGACCTGAAGTACATAAGCATCTACTATTAAAGAGTGTTTTTTGGTGGTGGGAAGTTAGGGAAAGGTATGGGAAGTGAGGGAAGAAATTCCATAGTAATAAATGAGAAGGAATTATTTCTCAAAAATTTTTGCTGTGGTGAATAATAGGGCAAACAGCTTGGAGATTTTTGAGGAGAGAGTAAATGACCACTTTTCCAGCACATTCTAGACATGATTTAATATGCTTCAGTTAGGGTTGGGATAAATGACCTATAAGACTGTTTATATAGGCTGATGTATCTAGGATCATGAATGACTCTATTATCATAAAGACATTAAAAAAAGATTTTTCCAATTTAAAATGAGTCTTTGGAGATAAGATGGGCCATCAAAGCACATAAATATCCATTAAAACTTAAGAAATCAAAATGTGTGGGGCATTTATCAAGCCTCAAATAAGGAAGCTTTATAGATCAGAAAAGTAGAAAGATTTCATGAAAATTGTGTATTAATATGTGTAAGAGTAAAAGAAAACATTTTTCTAAACTCAAGGTAGGAAATTATTATACATTTTTATGTGTCTTTATGTAAAAAAATTACAAGTAGCAAGCATATGACACAAGGAAATGGAACAGTAAGAGCAGTAATTGTGAATGCATGCTTTTTACAATGTATCAGATAAAAGGGATTATTTACCAAATCAAATATCCAGTACAGACATGCAAAGTACTTTCTCAAACTGTCAATTCAGCCATTTTGCTAGGTGCTTATCCAACAAACTTTTTTTTATTAACTTGTGTACAAATGGCTAAATACCTGATTTCAACAAACTGTTCCTGAAAATTAGAATCTACTTTTGTATTAAAAAAAAAAGAAATTGAAGAACTGGGAAGTCGAGGTAGGGAATGACAAAACAAACCAGAGTTGGTTTTCTTTTTTTTTCTTATTGCAATCTAATAATTTAACTCAATACTTTTTTGTTGCATTTGATCATGATATAAGAATAGCTGGTTAAAGTCCATAAAACCTCTAGCTGGTGTTTCCATGGTCGATATTTTCACATTTCACTGTAGCATGTTCAAAATCACTCAGGGATGTACTATGTTCAAGCAGTCTATATAATGAAAACAATGTACATACAACACAAGATTCATTTAAATCATTTTGTTTTCCATTTATCACACCATATACAAGTATTTAACAAAGACAGAAAACAACATAGAAGGAAATAAAACTGACAAGAAAAACAAAGCAGGGAAAGTCTTAATCAGGAACTAATTTCTTCTTCAAGTTTCCAGTAAATCTCAAAATGTATTTAAAAACTAAGGAGCACTTGGTGGCCAGCAACCAAATTACAAAATAAACATATCATTGTGCAGGCGGGATGTCTTGCCGAAGGAATAACAAATGTCTGTAATTCTTAGGTTTGGATAAAGGCAGTGGAATGAATTTAGAAACATGTCCACTTTTCGCAATTCACTACAGAATTTTCTTTTCACAGTCCCCATGTTTGTATAAATAGTTCTTCTCTGAAAATAAAACAGAGTTAAAACATTTTCTCCCTACGAAGAAACACAAACATATACATCAATTAACACATTAATCAGGCATTGACATGTATTCAGCTATTTCAGGCAGAGGGAGTTGAAACATTTTGATGAAAAATGATCTGTTGAGCAAATTAAATGGCGTATGAAAACAAATAAAAATTAGACCACTGAAATCCAAAATCAAGGTCATCATGGTCCTACATGATAAAATGAATGTGTAAGTGGATAATTGGTACTTTATAAAATGCCTTATTATCCTGATTTCATATACCTATATCATATTTTTGGCATTGCATGCTGAACTTTATTTTGGTAAAAAAAACCAAACAACATATCATGCAAAACATTCATTATCTCTAAATTGACCAGGCTGTGAAGATTTTGTTGATCTGATCTTATGATAGGTATGGAAGCTAAGTGGGCTATTTGTCAAGATGATGCAGCACAAATTAACAATCTAATATATACTCTGACACTTTTGGATTTTCCAGGCCCCTGTCTTTCTCCTCATTTGAGGGATAAGACTTGGAGCATTTCAAAGCCGATAACATGAACAGTAAAACAAAGAATAAAAATCTTGTCTGTCAATCAGAAATTGTTCTAGCTTTTCCACTCAAAGGTTCCTATTTTGAGAGAGTGGCAAGATTAAATTATTTGTAAATTTGATGTTTTGATGTTACACATGAATTTAAGAAAGGCTGTCTTCTTTTATCACAGATAGCCACATAGTTGCATCAATAAGGACATATAACAAGGAGTAATAAATAGCTAATACATTTCCTTAAACCAGCAGACAGCTTAAACAAAACACAACAGGAACGAAATACAACAAATGTATTTGTTTTTTGTTATCGAGTATATTTGCTTACCTTGAGTTCTCTTTTTAGACCCTAGTTGTGTTGTATTCAGATTCATGTTTGCTTAGAGACCCAATGAGGCAGAACCTGGAATGTTATGGCTATTTCATTCAACAAAATAATATTTGCATACACACAAAATATATGCATATATAAATATACTTAATTAAAAAATTACTGAAAAATTTAATCAAAATAAACAAATAGATTTTTGTTGGCATGCAAAAGTCCTTCAGAATTACTAAAGATATATCTTAGACACTAAAAAAAAGGTATAAATTCATAGAGGAAATAGGAATATTGAATAAAGAAACATAAACCTACATAACTCATGCAAGACAAAACACAAATATGTACAAAAGATTCAGAATGCTTGGAATTTGAAAATATCTTCCTAGCTGTTAATGGTTTTTTTTCCTCATAAACTTTTATTTGTTCTTATTTCCAGGTAGTCTAGAAAGTAATAACACAAGAAAAAATAGCTTATACATTTAAAAAAAACCACCAAATTTTATTGCTTCTTCTTGCTACATTTTTCATAAGTAAGTATTTGGCATTCTATCAACACTGCATTCAGTTTATAGTCTGAATATTTAACTTTGTGTTTTCTTTGGACAAGCACTGAGGAAAACAGTTTCTTTTCAATGCAAAACATTATGATGAAATGTTTTGTGGAAAAAAATATAGTTATAAATAACTTTCCATTTAAAATATGTCAGAAATATGGGTATTTCATCAATAAGTTTAACATGTCCAGTTATTATATTTATTAAAATATATAAAAATACACTGCTTCTGATTAGTGTAGTAAGCAATCTATAGAAACTCCCCTTAAATATGAGGATGCTATGGAATAATGTAAAAATATACATCATATAGGTAAGTATAAAGGCATATGCTTACACATCTATCATCTTTAAAAATGGTCTTTGGTTCATTAAAATATATGGATCTGCAGTATATTGTATGTACAACATGTATGTGTGCATAAGTATACACACATATGCACTTCATATACCTGCTCTGTGCTATTCCATATATGAATGTTAGGGAAATTATGAATAAGACAGAAAAGAGAGGGGTAAAGGAAAGCAAATTAAGACACTACAATCTCAACTATTAATAGAAAAAGAAATGAAAGAAAAGAACACAAACTATTTTGTGAGCAATTAAGTCTTCATGGGATAGTCTTCATCAAAAAAATCTATTGATACTGACCGCTGGACAGATTTATCATGTCTGGACAGCCTGTGACTCGTAGTGGGCACCTCTTCAATTTCATCTATGTCACATGCCTCTGCAGCATCTTGTGAGTAGTTATGCTTCATGACAAGAATATTTCTTCTGTTCATGGGTGGGATGAGGGGCTTGACTGGTTGGGGTGGCATTTCTGCCAAGAGAGGAGCATCTCTTGTGCTGAGGTTACTACGGCTGCCTTTAGTGCTAGACAGTTGTGATCCACAGTGATGGTCATGAATGCATTTAGAAGATGACCTCCTCAGTTTATGGTAATTTTCAAAGTCATCAGCCACATCTGCAAAGTCAGCTGTAGCCCCTGTCCCTCTAAGAGTGCATAACTCATAATGAGGAGGCTCAAATACCTCCTGGAATACTGTCTGGTCAAATTCTGCTTTCCTTTGGACAAATTTTTTACGAGGCTGTTTGATCTGTACGATGACAGAAATAATAATAAGGATGATCACAATACAGGAAGTCACCCCAATGACAGTCCCACTGGTATTGGTAAGCTGGTCCAGTAGGTTAGTCTTTCTTTTTTCTGCATATTGGAGAGAAGTTTAAAAAAATAAAATTAGATATAGACTTATAATAATTAAGCAGTTTTATTCTTATTTTCAAAGACCTAGTTTAGCATGTCCCATACTACCAGGAAGTAAAAAACAAACAAAAACAAACCAAAAACAACAACCACAACAACAACAACAACAACACTTTTGAATTTTGACAGGGCACATATTGATCCAAACTTGATCAATACAAGGAGTTATTTTCTTCTCCTCCTTCCCTTTCCCTTCTTTCCCTCAAAAAAGATCAGTGAGTGATTCTTTGACTTTAAATTCAGGACTTAGAATATTATTTTAACTCATCATTAAAAAAAAAGTATCTCCCACCCCGCATGGGTACTGGGTACTGATGAAACTCCATACTTCTAAATATTTCATATTTTACCTTCCTTTATTCCTATTACTGATAATTAAGAACAATGGAATAGCAAGAACTTTTCAGCTATTTAAGAATGAATTATTTTTATAGTTGAACTAATACTAATAACCTGTTCAGAATTATTAATAATTATTAATAATAAAATAAATCCAAAAATTAAAAAAAGTTTATTTACAGGTGGAAAAAATCCATATGGATTATTAAATATTTTCTAAGTATTTTCATTGCACTTTTAATTACTATCTAAGAAAGGGTTTGGATGAGATACTTGAAGAGGAGGTTCCTTTGTTTTCTGTATCTTCCCTTCTATCTGTCAGAACCTCTAGCTTCCTTTTAGTTTGAGTTTGTGAGTCACCTCCTATAGGAAGCCTTTCTCCATCTCCTTAGTTGTTAGTACCCTCTCCTTCCTCCTTGAATTATGTACATGCTTATTTCTATCTTATCAGTCGTGTGTAAGCACCTTGTAGTCAAGACTGCTTTTTTCCCCCTTCATTTTGTCTTTGTATCCCCAGTACATGGCATTCTGTACAAAGATTGTAGGTACAATGCTTACCATTTTATATTATATTATATGTTGTATTGTGTTATGTTGCATTGTGTTGTTATATTGGAATATATGTGATTAAAAACTGTGAATTATCTGAGGAAAGGAATACAATGGAGAAGAAAAGAGGAGAGAAAAGAGGAGAAATTAAGAATTCAGAGAAGGAGAGGGAGAGAGAAATAGAGAAAAGGGGATGAGTCCATCTAATAATTGACTACTAAACTTAATAATTGTTTTATTATTGACTGACTCACTGAAGGAAACCCTGCCCTAGGACATTTATCTATTTCTGTACTTTGGCAACTTTGTGGTTTTGCAGTTCTGCCCATTATGTTTGTAGTTGGGATAGACACTTCTACATATTCATGTGTCTAATACCCAGGATCCCTCAGATTTTTTGATATCTTTGGAAATCACAAGTCAAACTAGATTTTTTTATTTGTTTTTTTTTCCTAGATGGCAGAGAATGATCTTCCAAAGATGCTTTTAAGTTAGCAACTGAGCAATGAGTCAGCTCCCCAAGATTAAAGTGATATCATTAGGTTCCTGAGATCCCAAAGCTACAACTATCTTACTTCCTCTTCTCTGATCTCTGAACTTACTCATTCTATCTTATACTTTCCTTATTGTGTGACTATGAAAAAATGGAGGAAATGAGCCTTTCTTGTAATGGAAAAGCCATACTTCTTATAGTTAATCAAAGCTTTCTTTCTCTAAAGAATGAATATTGTTTAAAAAGAGAAAAATACTTCTGCTGCATCTGCTTCAGCTAACTTGGGAATGGAATATCACATTCTTTTGAGTATATGGTTGCTTTTTGAGGTGCATAAAATTTCTGGGGTTTTTTTCACCATTTTGCCCTAGCTTTTCAGAGGATTTTGTAGTATTCAGCAGAATTACATGATGTTTCATAATCCATCTGGTTTGCATATTTCTTGATTACTTCCTAAATTGTCTATTCAGCCTTTATAGGAACATATACAAAGTAGATCAAAACAAACAAACACACAAAAAGTGGTGGGTTGATTTAATTTTCCATGGGAAGTACTGTTAGGCCACATAGTATAAAAGCAAAAGTACTGGGTTCAAATCTTGGCTTTAACTTTTACTATCTTGGTGAAGTCATTTAATCTATTGGTGTTTCAATGCCCTCACCTGCAATATTCTGATAATCATACTTATGCTATCTATCCCAGAGGGCTAATGTAGGGAAAGTGCTCAGTAAACCTTGAATTACTATGTGAATGCAACAGATAATCATACAGATGCTTACTCTGAAAGGATACATTAAAGAGAACTTCTTCTTTATATGGGCAACCCACACTGCAAATTGCATTCACAGTGATTTCAAAAACATATTTATTCAGAAGAATCCATGTCACATGTGGGTCTGCCATTGACTGCCTGCAGCCGTTACTGGTGTTCCTATGGCTGAGGATTTCTGCTTTGGTTCACAGTAGGTAGGCACCTTAACACACAATGCTGGGCTTTAAGCATGAAAAGGTTTGTAATTTGCTTCCCTTTGCTTGCCTCTGCTTCTCCGGAAATTGTTTAATGTGGGAACTTGATAAAGCAGTTCATCTGACACTTTCAAGTAAGCTTAAACATGCTACTTTCAGGACCCAAACAAATCTCCCTGGCTCCAGGGGCAAACCTGTGCCCACGCACAAAATAGGGGGCAATCAGGCATCCAGTTCCCTTAGAAGGTGAGATTAATAACTTGCTCATTGAGTTAAGCATTGTGAAGCATCAGAAAGCCCAACTACTCCTCAGAGATGTTCAATCTTTAGTATTTGTGCACAAGGCCTAATGAAATCAAACTGAAATTAATGAGAGATGCAGCCATGGATTAAGGAGACTGAAGAGGAATGGGCTACATTAAAGGGTTCATTTTGTGTCTTCATGGCCATAAGGGTTCTGTTAAAGTAAAAGTGCTTAAAGAATATATATGTGCTACTCTGCACATTAATGAAAATAGAGAACTTCAGAAATGGAACAAAGCCAACATAAAAGTCTAACTAAGCATGCGCGCACACACACACACACACACACACACACACACACACACACACACACCCTAACCATAAAACATATAGTTTACAAGATTTCCTGGATTATCTATTTAGAAAAATTTGTTTAAGCTGCTCAGAAGCTTGGGATAATCTTTCCTTTATCACTAGGAAAAAGGTGAAGAATTTTAGAGACTCAAGTCTAAGTATTACCTTTACAGTGATTTTCATCCCAAGGATACACACAGTTCTGGAGTCCATTGCAGACCAATGTGTTATTAATGCACATATTACTATGGCAGAAAAATGTGTTTCCTTCACATGGAGCTAAAATTATAAAGAAAAGAGATAAAAAAGTAATCAGTGATGTTCAATGATATGCCACTCACATGTTAGACCTAAGGGGGAAAAAGAGATATGAATGATAATTTGTTGTTAAATTGAGATAAATGATCTGACATGGGTTTTTCATAAGTGTTCAGATGTGGTAATTATTTCTTTTGTTAGAGGCAGAACTGAAATACCTCTAGAGAGCCTGCAGAAAGTTTTCCACCATAAAAAGATCATTATTGCTTATACAAGAGAGTTTACATCGCACACTTTATATGTATTTGCTATGTTTCTTTAAATCTAAATTTAGTTAAATGTTTAAATTAGAGAATAAAATAATTTTATTTTGGAAATGCAGAAACTAGAAAACATCAGTCAACCTGGATTAGAAATTGTGAAGAGAATGTAATATTGATATATTACATGATACATCAATGTGATCACTGTGTTTAAGAAATAACTCACCTCATGTATGCCTTATGCATGATATTGTCCTCATGTATACTTTTCTATAACTCATAAATAATAATAAACCAGCTCTGTGAGAAATTTACTCTAAGCATGAAGAGAAAGTTTGGGACTTCGTTGTACAAATACTTAATTGTACAAGTTGTACAAGTATTTAGTTGTACATATGAAAGTCAAAGTCCTCAAGTGTTAATGTTTCCTTAAGATAATCTTTATGTTATCAGAATTGAAATTTTCTTCTCCCATCATTAAAGTTGTGACAGACATCATTGTATAATAGTGTGGACTATGTGATGGACTGGGAGTCAGGAAGACCTGGATTCCATTCCTACTTCTGACATTTTCTACTTGTAACAATAGGTAAGAAGCTTAATTAGTCTGAGCAGCTGGCATTTATCTAAGTCATCACTTCTTAAACTGTGGAGTCAGTTTAAGAATTGCTGAGGGGGTTGTTAGTAGAAAGAGTTTAAGAAGCCCTGTTCTAAGTTATAAGCATCAACTAAGTTTTCAACAGATTGAAAAATCTGTTTTTTATGTAAAGTACTATAATATTCAAGATTTGCTTGATATTATGTAGATTAGGAAAAGTTTACTGGTTAGCATTTACTTGTTGTTTCTTTTTTAACTTTTAATTTTCTCTATCAATCTCCCCTTGACATCTTTATCTTTTCCCATTTTGATTACTCATTCCCTTCTATCTACATACATGCTCAGGTCTCATCTTAGCATAGTTCTCTCCTAATGATATCTTTAAGAAATCAATGCAATGCCCTCATTTTGGTCTTGATTTTACTTGAAATTTCTGTAGCAATTATCATCAACTGTCATCTTTATTTAATATTTTTTCAGTACTTGAGTTCTTTGACAACTCCATTTTAAATTCTTTCTAACTCTCTGACAATTCTTTCTTTGTTTCTTTCATTAGCTTCTCTTCCTTATCACATCCCAAAAGGTAGAGAAAATAACCCAAAGCTTTATCCTTTGCTCTCCTCTCTATTCCCTTATTCTTTCCTCATATCTCCTCTCCTCTTATTTCTCCTCTGTTCATTAGAACGTGAACTCTTAGAGGGCAGGTAACTGTATATTTGTATTTCTTTGCAGTATTTGCAGATCTTAGCACATACATACATAGTAATCATTTAATAAATTCTTGTTCAGTGACTCTTCTTCCCTGACCTTCCCCTTCCCTCTCCCTACCCCTCTGTCCTCCTTTCTTTTCTCCTTTTTCCTCTCCCCATTTGTAATCTCACTCTGTTCAGCTTCCATTAACACTGATAGTCAGCTAATTCTTAAATCTGTATCTACAGCTATGACATCTCCTGCGAGCTCTAGTGCTTTATTTGCAACTATTTGCTGGACATCTCTACTTAGTTGTCTCACTAGCACCTCAAATTCAAGATTTACATAACCAAACTCATATGTTCTTTGCTGCCTAGTGCCTAGTAAAGTGCCTTCTGTATCAAAGAAACAAGTTTTGAAATCTGTGCTCAAATCTTTCCCTTTTTCTAACTTCTCTTAATCTGTTGACAATAGCATTATTGTTAGGAACCTACCTGCTTAGTTATAATTGGCAATACCCTAAGTATCGACTTATGGCTCATTGCTTTTTAGTTATTTGAAATGGGGCATGCAATTAACTAGTCCTTCCCCATCTTCACTCCTACTATGGCAATCTGTCTTTTAAATGAGGCTGCAGTGGATTATGTGACTGGAATGTGGAATTGAATTTCTGTTAACAAAGACTTTTTTTTGGTTGAAAGTTTATCTGCCCTGCCTCCATGAAATGGAAATGGAAAAAAATATATAACTTTGTTTACAACTGTCAGAGAAAGCTGAACAGTGGATTATGGAAGTTTTATTAAAAGAGGACCAGAATGGAAGTAGTAGGAAGGATGTAAGGATACATAGTACTTGAGTTATTCCTTTATGCATTATGGTGGGCAAAGGAGCAGAAAGAGCCCTCTTTTACTGTCCTATTGGGCACCATTTTTCTTTTCTTCTCAAGGGACCATGTTAGAAGAAGCAGTTTTGCTTTTCTTCTTTCATACGCAGAGTCCTTATTGAGTTCCTCTTTTACCTATTAAATAAAATTATATGATTATTGTATCCCACTGACCTTTGACCACTGCTTATAAGATCTGGAACATGGTCAAGGCAGGGGGAAGGAAAGAATAGGAAAGTGGAGGGAGAATGTGGCAGATACGTGTTCAGAGGCCTGCCTAGGACAGTGTAGTTAATAATTTTCTCAAATAGCTTCTATATTTAAAAGACATTTCTGTACATTATTTTGTATGTTATTAGTAGCTGGGTTGGTGCAGTGGATAAATCACTGAGCCAGGAATCGGGAAGACCTGATTTCAAATCCAGCCTTAGACATTTAATAGCTGTGTAACCCTGAACAAGTCATTTAACCTCTGTCCAACGCAGTTTCCTCAACTGTAAAGTGGTGGTAACCATAACTCCTACCTGCCAGTGTTATTGTGAGGATCAAATGAGATAATAATTATAATGTGCTTAGCACAGTGTCTGGCATATAGTAAGCATTATGTAAATGTTAATTATTAACTAACATTGCTAACCTTTCTTCTCCCTTAACCCTAAATGCAGCCAGTTGGCATATAAATGGTAAATGACCAGTTAATTTTAACATGTCATCCAACTAGCTATTTCTTCAAAATATCAGTTTTATCTTCCCATTCCTTTACATCACAATTGTTCTAGTTTAGACCCTCATTTACATTTTATCTGGGTGTAATGTGAAAGATTCTCAATTGTTTTCTCCACTTTATTTACCTTTTAAATACAACACCATCTTCACACAGCAAAGTAAGCTTTTTATTATGTATAGCTGACCAAGTCACACTTCTACACATGAAAACAAAATTAAGGATTTCCCACAAAAAAAACCCCACAAAACAAAACCTCCCTTTACCAGGATTTAAAGCCCTACACAATTTGGCTTCAACCAATTTGCCCACCTTTTTTCACACCATTCCTCCTTTTTTTCTCTCTATTCCATACTGAACTATACAATATTACCTAACCTTATACTTCATTCTCTTGTCACCATGCATTTGTATATTTTGTTCCTAGGCTTCAAATGGGTTTCCTCTATGTCTATTCCTCTATTCCTTCTGTCTATGAAATCATTCATTTCCTTAAAGACTCCACACATGTCCTTCGTAAAGTCTTCTGTGTTCCCACCCATTAGGATAATGAAATTGGAGAATTGGAAGAGACCTCAAGAAACTATGTAATTCACCTGAGACTAATATGGGACATTTGTCTATGATATCCCCATGGTTTTCACTTGAATATGTTTAGTGATGGGAAATACACTATCTCCTGAGGCAGCCAATTCCACATTAGGAAAATGTTAATTATTAGGACATGTTTCCTTGCATCAGCTTAAATCTAGTTCTCTGCAATTTCTACCTCATTGATTCATTTTTTTTCTAGGCAGATGAAGAAAATATGTCTAATTTCTCTTCTTCCAGGTGACAACTTTTCAGATATTTAAAGACAACTATCATGCTCCAGATAAATTTTCTTTTTTTCTAGGATAAAAATTATTCAATCTTGTATTTATTGTTTACTCTACATCAGTTACTGTACTAAGTTCTGAGGGTATAGAAACAAAAAAAAGAAGTGGTTTCTGCCATTAATGAACTCAAATTATGATAGAAGACACAGCATGATAATAACTAAGTACATACAAAATATGTGTAACATTAATACAAAGAATTTTGGGGAAGGGAACACACTGGAAGAGGAGAGGTGGGCTGTGGGGGAGAGATTAGGAAAGGCTTTATATAGGAGTCCCTTGAGACAAGCCCCAAAATTCCTCAAGAGGGAGGTAAGAAGTAATTGCATTTAAGACATGGAAGACAGCCAGTACAAAGTTAATGTCAAGATATTAGGAGAGACCTTCTTTTCAAGAGCTAAGGCCCAGCAAGCAGGCTGTGCCTTGAGCTTGGCATGAAAAAATCCTTTGCTCTTACCCTCTGGATGATCTCAGCTACAGCAAAATCGCAGAATAGTTTCTGGTCACGAAGCCCTGCTATGAATCAAACTTGTCACATTGTTTCTGTTACCCCTCATTGTCCAGGCTACAGCTCACTGCATAGCCATAGGCATAAGCATTGAGATCCCCACATATTAAAGCAGGTCCCTCTCAGTAGGGATGGGGCTCTGACACATGTTCTTGCTTTCAAGCCATTTACCTCACTTTGAAATTAAACTTCTGGTGGATTCCTGACTCTCCTGACTTTAGCCTGCTTTGTTCAGCTCCAGCCATCCACAGGTTAGAGGCCAGATCCGATCCAGCTGACAGCAACAAAATGGGAAATGGAGTTCCAAGATCATTAAACTAAACCTCATATGGAAAGGATTCCATGGCCCTTTTCCCCTTTGTTTGTCTTTTACTAAGACAGGCTCCAACTTGTCAATGGCCTGCCTAAAATGTAGTGTTCCAGGCTGAATACTATATGCCAGATATGGTCTAACTAGGTGCACCTGCCTTTATTTAA